ATTCTTCGCAGCTCGGGTGGCAGCGCGAGCCCTCGTGCGCGCAACACGGTAGCGCGAATACTCTTCCTGATTCCGGCCACTAGTGATCCATGTTCGATAGCATGCATTGCGCGCGTCCAGCAGTGGCCGCAGCCCGTCCTGGCTTTCCGTAAACCAATCAGGCTGCCGTCTCCTCTGATGACCGAGAGTGTCCGCAGCTGCCGCCGTCACCACGTCCCGCATCGCATTCCATTTCTCGTCTACCGTTTCCGCGTCCGCCACTGCATCAATCTTGGCATTGATGTTTTCCTGGTAGTCGTCAACCTTCCTCCGGTGGTTTCCCTCAGCATCTGTCGAAACCACTGCGGGCAGATTATGCACTGCAAATCGTACTCTCTTTGTGGATTTCCGCGGTTTCCACAAGACCCTGCCGAGCCTAAACCTGGCGGCAACAAGACTATGGTCGCTCCCACATTCTGCCGAGCGAATAACCTGAGCATCAGTGCACCAGTGCCGGCTCCCTTGCGCTGTGATGATGAAGTCAATACAATGGACATGTTTAGTTCTGGGATGCTGCCAAGTGCCTTTCAATTCCTGCTTTTTCCTGAACCAGGTGTTCGCGATCCAGCATTGATGCATTGCCAGAAACTGAAGTAGCTCCTCTCCAGACGAATTCAGGCAGCCCAAGCCATGTGAGCCACGCACAGCGCTCCAATCATCACCTGGCTCTCCAGACCCCACTCTGGCATTGAAATCTCCAAGTAGAACAAATTTATCTGTGCACGGTATTGAGTTGAGTACTCCCTGCAGAGAGTCATAAAACGCATCCTTTTCACAGCGCTTACTGTTGAATGTTGGCGCATAAGCTGTAACCAGCGACATCCATTCAACCTCTCCACTCGCCAGATCAAACTTCAAGCGTATGGACAACAACCGAGCGGATACTGCGACGAGTTGACAACCCCCTTCGCGCCAGGCCCGAAGCGCATTTCCCCTCAGCACAAACGCAACGCCCTCACCTCGCCGTCTGGACGCTCCTTCCCCAGGCACAGGCCGACCCGAAGCAATGACCATTGCTCCGTGGACTTGATAGTTTTCCTGACCAAACCAGTGGGTCTCTTGAAGAGCAGCGGCGTCCATCTCCAAGCGTTCCAGATGTTGTACAATTTGATAAATTTTTTTATCGTCGGCAACAATTCCACTCGCGGCAGCCGTCTGAATGTGGCCCTCACTCTCAACCAGAGAGCGTACGTTCCAAGAGCCTATGCTGAATACTCCATGCTGTCGTTTTCTTTGTGCTGTAGATGTCACCACTCGCGGGCTCGCAACGCCTCGCGAAGGCATCTGAGAACGGGACGACGACAAGAGTGTCGACATCAAAAACACACACACACACACACACACACGCACGCACACACACACACATGACAGACCCTCAGGTTCACTGTTGGACTATGCCATCTTAACACAATCACACTGTTGCTTATGTTGCTTGTTGTTCTACTGTGATCCAGTCACATCCCAGGGCACTATACCGGGAGCGCTTTACCAGTTTGCCCACGTCTCAGGATGTTGGACCAGCTGCGTGCTGAATCAGTAAGTTCAAACCCCCACCCCCAGCCCCCTCACACACACACACGCGCACATGCACACACACATGCACACACATGCACACACACACACACATGCACGCACATGCACATGCACACACACACACACACACACACACACACACACCATGACACACACACACACACACACACACACACACACACACACACACACACACACACACACACACACACACACACACACACTCTCTCTCTCTTTCTTTCTCTCTCTCTTACACATGCACACACACACACACGTGCACACTTGGCTTCAAAAAGTACTGTTTTTATCGTGATGCAGTGTGCACATTGGATGGGTTATTAATACTTATTAGGCCATCCAGAATTAATTCGTTGTTTCGGGTCACCCGACCGCAAAATGTGTTTTTTTATAGTGCATGCAAATGTACAGACTACACTATGTACACACGCGACCCTAATAATAGCAGTCCAAATATCGACCTCAGAAGCAGCCATGGCTAGCCAAATGATAGGATGCAGTGCTTGGTGACGATGTTGTCTTCTATCTCCGATCCGCAATCGGTCCTGAAACAGCATCAACTCCGCCACCTTGTCGCTATTTACAGAAGTTTTCAAGATGAGAGCTGCTCGTCAGACTCGTTTGCCAGCGAGGCCAAGATCTGGTCCTGGAGGGGACCTGGATCTGATGGGACAAATTCAATGACTGCGCTGGATTGTCTACACAACAGTCAGATTTGATCGACTGGCTAGATGGACAAAAGCTATTCGATGTACATGTATGCACATGGACGTAACCAAAATAAAAAATATAATATAATAAAAAATAAACCCGACCGACCGACCCTGGTACGGATGAGTGAAGTGACCCGAAACAATGAATTAATTCTAGGTGGCCTTAATAAGTTATTATGCCCTCGAACTCCCAGGTATGAGCTACCCACCGGAAAGGGAAATCCATGTACGTCAGTGACATAGGATAATTCAGTTAACATAAAAAGGGTGCACATTATACTTTCCCACATGCGGGAATCAATTTCAACGCTTTCCTTCATTGGTGCAGAGCGTTGGCAAAGGGCAAAATCTGAAGAATTGCTCGACCTGGATTGTAATCAGGCAAGGACCATTGCAACAGGCCAGTCGGTGAATGTGTGAGCATCCATCATGGCGAACATGAGTGACAATAACGTGACGGGTGTCCCAGAAGACACTGAGCTAGCACTAATTAATGGAACGTGCATGGTGTGTGTGTGTGTTTGTGTGAGTGTGTGTGTGTGTGTGTGTGTGTGTGTGTTCGGACTGCCACGTGCCTAAAGCGCGATGCAATGAACATAGAGCGCATTGTGCAAAAGATCTCTCGTGATATGCTGTGCACAATGCAGGATGCATCATACTCGTAGCGAAATGCATTTCCAATTTTTTTATGTGTTCATCTCCGATTTACATCACTTTTCTTTTTTCTCGTGTATGTGTTCCAGGCTGAAGACCGTACCGGCACTCTGTCCATCTGGATATTATGAGGGACGATTCACCGAACAGTGTTCTAATTGCAAGGATTGGAAGTAAGTCTTAACCAGTAGCTGGGGCAGCCATGGCCAATTATAACCGTGAAGGTGTGAGCAAACACAAATGTGTGTGCTAACAATTAAGTTGCAAATGAAAAAAGGACGAAGTGCTAATACAAACAGTAATACGTTTCACATAGAACAATAACAGCTAAGCTTGGCCACACCAAACACCACATGGTACTTGACCAATTATAAATCTGTGCTGTTGTTATAGGTATTATTATCTCTTATCAATAGTTCAGCTGTTTTGCAATGCCCTTTAGTACAATGACGATTCCTGAAGAGTGTTGTACGAAAACTTGTTAGAATCATAATTTATGTCTTCTTCACTATTTCTTCCTTCTTCCATCATTTTACTGCACATTTTTCCATCTTTTGACACTGCATGAATAAATACGGTATACAAAATTTAATGTCGATTCAGCTCATCTCCAGTTGTTGTACTTCAATGTACTGCACTGGATAGCCTGGATCTAAATTCAAACCCCGGCCGAAGATCACCCGGGAAGCGACACCGCGTGCGCGCGCGTGTGTGTGTGTGTGTCTGTCTGTGTGTGCAGGGGGGGGGGGGGTAGAATTAGAGTGCTGCGTGAAACCAGGACATTGCAGCGATGCAGTGTACAGACTGAGGGCCAAGGAAAACTTAGGGAGTTTCACTTGTCTGTGTGTGCTTGAGATTGGGACGTGGGCTGTTCTATGCCCATTAATGTACTGAAAGCTGGTGCGGTTTTTTTAATTTTTTTTATAATGATCACAGGTCACAGGCAAAGACAAAAAATTGCATAGTGGGAGCATAGTGATGGTGAGGCCTTTTGCCCTCAGCCGACCTGAGGTCTCGACGTCATGGGGGTTGCTCTGTTCTCTGACTGTCCAATACAGGTGTCCATGCAGCACTACCAGCACCTGGGCAGAGTGCGCTCATCATTACAAGTACAATTGGGGCTGCCCGCCAACGAAGCACCTTTACCTTGCATATCGCACACGAGAATGTCTTCGTAAGTGCCCCCGATTGTGTTGATTCTTGATGAGTTTGTCAGCCAACTGTACGGTCCCTGTAATGAAAGTTCTTTGCCAGGACTTAAAACACCCGACTATTGCCTACTATAATGAGATGGTCTGAGCTCCAATGGGGGTGTCTTGTGTGATTGCAAATGTGGTTATCAACTTATGCGTGTAGTACATTGCGTTTGACTAGCTTCGCTGATGCTAACGGCCACCTTGGTGTTGCAAAAGAAGAACCTATGTGTGGAATTCGTATACAGCTCCCGTGGCTTCCCGGGGCAGTTGCTAAATGACTAGGCTACCAGGAACACACACACACACACACACACACACACACACAACACACACACAAACTGCAGTGGCCGTTTGTTGTTGTTTTTTATTTGAATTCGCAATACCAAACGGGCAATAAGCCCAATTACATGGAAGCGAATAAAAGAATGCTAAGAATGAGGCATTGGGGTGGATGTTTCTTGCTACTCTAGCACTCACTTGCTCTGGGTGAGGGTAACACGCATGTAGTTCACATGCTATAAATAACAAATATTTTTATTCCCGTAGCTATGCAGAAGACGTTACTTCAGTAATGTCTGGCGCTAGCCAGGGTCCACACAGCTTTAATTTGGTGTTTGTGTGTTTGTTTGTTTGTGTCACACCTGGCGCTATCCCGTATCTGTCCCGTACTGTACGGTACCAGCAAAGACAGCTGGCCACAATACTTTTGTTTGTTTGTGCCATCGACATGCCTGGCGCTATCCCGTACCTGTCCCGTACCATCAAGAGTACGGTACCATCAAGAGAATGAGTATATATGCGAAGTGTGTCGGGGGAATGCATTCAGTGCAGTAACTTCTGTGCGAGGCCGAGATCCCACTAGCAGGCTGGCTGGGCCGCCTGTCGACCAGCCCGGGAATCGCATGTAGGCCGATAGCATAATAACTATAACGTATATACAGTCATGTAGATGTATAGCAGGGAGTCATATTATGTAAACGACTCCCTGCTGTATGGGGAGATTTTCTGGAAAGAAATACGAAGTAGGGAGACGAGTAAATGCAATCAGAATGGATGTTACTTGCCGTCAGTATAATAATAAGAAGAAGAAGAACGCCCGTGATCGGCAGAGTCAGCGCCGGTCCCAGGAAACGTCAGGACAGACATCCCGTCGACTCCAGAACGCCCGTGATCGGCAGAGTCAGCGCCGGTCCCATAGCTATGCAGAATACGTTACTTCAGTATCTCATTGAACGTTTTTGCAATACAATGATGTAGCTAATCAAAGGAAAAAGCATTTCCATCAGTTCTAACAACATGCACGATGAGCTAGGCAACAAAGCATAGCGCAGGGCCCTGAGCTTCCAAGCTCTCTCGTTTAAAGAGACAGTTGCCGTGTGATCTGTCGGGTTTTCCCCTTCTCACTTATACCCTATTCATTCCAACCTGAGCCTTGAAACTCCTCTACACCCACCCTAGTTGGATGCCTGGTGCTTCTCCCTACTTGGGTGGTACCACCACGGATCCAGTCCATATCAGAGCGGTTAATGCTTCATGTTTGTTTTACAATTTCCAACCTGAGATCTCACCGCCAAATTTGGCGCTCCTCACATTGCAACGGGAGACTTCAATGCGAGAGAGGGCCAACTCAAGTTGAAAAAAGCAATTCAACGCACTTTTTTCTCACTGTCGAAATTGAAAAAAAGGGAAGCATAAACTCTCTATTATCATCTACTTCTACAAGATCTCTCTAGCTGAATCTGAAAATTACTATCATAATCAAATTTTGAAAGCATTGGGAGAACTTCAAATTCAAAGAATCAGTCAGGGAAATGAACTGGCTGAAAAGAGAAAAAATGCCAGACCATGAGTACTCGAACCCGGGACTTTCCTGCAAAATTACTTATCTCCGTAATTGAACTGCTGGTCCTTTGTTGCGAGATTCGAAAGAAACGAGCGTATATTAGTCAGTCTTTTAATTTTAAGTGGTTGGTGGGTGAAGACGAAACTGAATTATGAATCTATTGAATCTGTTGTTGAACACAGCCTGTGACACGTCCTGCACGGAATGCACAGGACCAGCGAAATCAGACTGCACTTCGTGTGTTCCAGGAAAGATGTCAGTCAACAACAAATGTACCGGTGGGTTACTGCTATATGAGCACTTCAGCACAGCTGATCATATACTATAGTATTCTGCTGTGTGGCCACCATGATTACCATAGCAACTGAGTATGCTGATCATATACCATAATATTCTACTGTGAGGCTACCATGATTACCATAGCAACTGAGTCTAATTCGATTCTTAAGACGGAAACTCTGTGCCATCTCCAATGCCAGTAGCCTCTTTGCTGCAAAATTGCTTATCTCCATCAATTATTTGGCCAGGAGCCATCATCACCATCTTTTTATTTTTTTATTTTCACTGAAAGCAACCTATTCGTAAGAAGAGGGGAGAGAAGCAGCAGGACAACACAGCAATGGGAGGAGTAGGGGCTCTTTCTGGTGATGGGATGGGAAATTTTTTCCGTGTTATGAAACGGCAGCAGTTGAGCTTGTGCACCTATGCAATGATTAGATTCTTAGTGGATTTAGGGCATGTCCACCATGCTCCATTCAATTAATCTCTCTCTCCTTCTTGGAGTCCATCACATGGCAGGTGTTCTCTTAAAAAAAGGTGGTCTCTAGTGACAGGGGTGGTCTCTTGTGACAGGGGTGGTCTCCTAAAGGAGTGGCTGCATAACACAGGTTTTACTGTAATACTTTTACTGCTCCTATCTACATGTAGATGTGGAGTACGTCTTTGGAGCGACAACCTGCTCCAGTTCATGCAACAGTGCGCCGAGTCTGCCGGGAGCCTGCCCGTCGGGATTCTCCGAGGTGAACAGAGCGGTGGCGTGTTCAGCAGGATGCACGACGACGTACTGCCAGGCGTGCAGTGACTGGGCTAGCTGTGCGCGTCGCGACAATGTCTTCTCCGGGTGCCCGACGGGCAGCAGCACGGCCAGCTACTACGTCAAGCAGTGCGCAAGTGAGTGCGCCGGCGGTCATGCTGTGACAATAGTGTATCGTGTTAAGTGTGTGTGCGTATTCTGAAAACACCGTGCAGTGGTGTTTTTTTATTTTTTTATTTTTTACTAAGTACACGACCTACTCGTCAGAAGGGGAGAAGACAACAGAGTATACAATAACAAAATAGCAGGGAGAGTAGGGGCTGCAAATCAAGCCCGTACGTTCTGTGTGTTTTCTGTGCATTGCTGTGTGAGGTGTATGCACATAATTATGCAACTGCCATTTCTACCATGCTTTCCGGATAAACATTACTTCACTCCAGTACTGCTCAATGAAATTCAGTCGCGTCCCTCGCACCATTTCACAGCCCAGTGTTCGTAGGTCTAGGGCTGCGCAACGCCCGGTGCGTACTTGAGTGACCCGACTGGATTTCATTGAGCAGCACTGTATTTTCCCTCAACATCCAGCAACCTGAGTAACTCTGCAGGACTTTCTTCGCTTTTACAGCGAAGCCACGGAAAGTCTTCGGTAGCCAATGGGACCGAGATAATTATATGGACCACGCCATCTTCTTTGCCGACATTGTAACAGCCATGTTGAGAAATAAGTTCCTTAGTACTCGGAAGTACGCTCATGCCTCTTTTTCCGGGTGGTCTGGGACTGGGCACTGCCCGTAACTTTGAAATGTCCCTAACTCCAAATCACATACATTTTGATGCTGAAAGGCCATAGATATGGCATATGATGTCACTATTTCCACAAAAAGTCACAGTAGAGTAGTAATATTTCCACTGAAACTTGCCCAAAGGGTGCCCGGTAGACTGAAGTGCCCGTCGGGGTCCAGATAACCGAGGTATGAGTGTATATGTACTGTTAACATTGCCCCCCCCCCTCATATGCTGTGCTTTCTATTCTTTCCCAGGGTGCCGTACAACCCCCTGCCCAAGCTGCCAATGTGATCTGTGCCCGACCGCCACACAGTACGTCCAAGGCGGCACATGCGTAGCAGCGTGCTCTACAGGCTATCGGCTGGTGTCCTCCAGCAAAACCGACCGAGCGTGTCTGAAAGGTCAGCCAACCCACTCCGTGCATGTTCCATTAGATAGCTATGCGATTGCATCATCATTAGCTTGACATGCATGATCACATCATTGTGCCGAATGATGGCGCCAGTCCCGCTCTGCCACTCAGCATAATGTATCTATATCCGCATGACCTCTTTAGTAACTGTAATGTGGATTTAGTGTATACAGACACCCTCTTAAACGGCAACGACACGCAAAATTTAATAGCATTTTCCTCCCTAGTAACTATTTGACTGCATACACTTTAATCTAACAAATAGTGGCGAGTCGCAAATAGCAATATTTCAATAGTGGCGAGTCACAAATAGCAACATTTCCTTATGCTTGGTCGAGGGTTGTTATTCGCGAGGTTGACTATAGTTACAGTCCTGCTGCTCAGTAGAATCCGATCGCGTGAGTCAAGACGACACTGCGTGTGTTGTAGCCCCAGACCTGTGAACACCGGGCCATGAACTGGTGCAGGGCGCAAACTAGACCCACACGATCGGATTTCAGTGTGCAGCACTGCTTCGGGGCATTGCTATGGCGAAGGAGCGGGAAATATGAATAGTGAGTATTGTACGGTCTTAGTATAAACACACCTATTACAGGCCCATTCGTTACTCTACTTTCTCTGTTTGTCAACCCTTACCCTGTTCATGTTGCTGGCGCTGCAGACGCCATTGATCATTGCAAGACGACGCCGTGCCAGAACGGTGGCACGTGCACTAACTACTACATGGGTACGGGGTGCACCTGTGCGCCTGGATTCACCGGAACACGCTGCGAGACGAACAACGACGAATGCCAAAGCAGCCCGTGCATACAGGGAACGTGCGTGGACGGCGTCAACTCCTATTCCTGCAAGTAAGTACCATTCAGATAGTGTTACAAGGGAGGAGAGAGAGAGAGAGAGAGAGAGAGAGAGAGAGAGAGAGAGAGAGAGAGAGAGAGAGAGAGAGAGAAAGCAGTGGCATGTCCAGATTGATTACTTGAACACATCGCTGTGGGACTTTTGCGGCCGAAGCCAACACAGAGATGACATGCATAGGTGAATGTGACTGACCATGGGTTGCCTAAAGACAAAAAGTTGCAGTAATTGGAGAAACTAAACTATCTAGTCGAAAATCGAACAAATGAGTTGTTATGAAAGGAGTACGATATTACATTTGACCTCTTCTGCTTTGATCTACTGCAACTGATATACTACTGTAAGCCTTTCAATCCCAGCATGTGGCCAAGCTGTATGACCCCATGTCCCAGCAACTATGGTAATTCCAGCATGACCACATTTTGCCCCAGATTTAGAATGCAATGATTTACACGGGGCTCCAAATTTCTTGACATTTGCGAGGGGGCCCAGAAAAGTACTTCAAATGGTCGACTGTACCACCCTAATGATATATCTTTGGACGCCACAAGAATAGTGCCGACCTATATGATTATAAAATCTTGTAGGACGCATCACGCAGCTTCATAAGTAAAAAATGGGTTGTGAGCAACACTGGCTCACACTCAAATCACTGCTTTTCACCAGAAAAATATTCTTCATTCCTGATGATGGTTATTTCATGACCGAAACGTTGAAATATAATATTTTTCTGGTGATAAGCAGTGATTTGAGTGTGAGCCAGTGTTGCTCACAACCCATTTTTTTCTATATGATTATGCTGTAGCAATCATTTCATATTGCAAGGAACAGGCACGTAACACTTCCGTTGGAGGTGGTCCGGCAGGAGAGGGGGGGGGAGGGTCAGTGGGGTATCCCTGCGGGAAATCTTTGAAATTAGGGTGCAAAATCCTGCATTCTGGGCACTTTTGGCCATGGTCAGGCGAAAAGTGGTCTGGCTTGGACCGGCTGCTACGCCCTGAGGAAATCCGGCCCTTTTTGGGCCGGCGGTATTGTGGCCTAGTTCAACTGTGCTCCATGTGCAGACAGCACTGTCTGATCCCTCTTGTATACTGTATAGTGCAGATCAGAGAAAAATATATATGGCTGAATTTGGCAGCTCTGAAATGCATGCAAAGTGACATTTGCATTGTTTTTACTTACTGCTATGGCTGGCTATCGCCCCCCCCCCCCCCCCCTCCCCCACCCTCCATATTGGCCTATATTCCCTGGCCACGGGAAGGTGAAGTAAATAATAATAAACAATTTCAGTGCTACCGAATTTGGCATGCACGGTATGCTAAAACACAGCTGGTTGGTTCAGATCAATTAGAAGTAAAATACCGGCATTATTGTACTCCCCAGTAGAGATTGCTCGACTATACATACGTATGGTTTCTTATGGCTGTGATACATGAAGCTACGTTGAAGAACTGTACAATCATGTACTTGTACCTGAAGCACGACGTTCCGTTTGTGGTTTGTTGATACAGGTGCAAGCCTGGATACGCGAGTACCCGCTGCAACATCGACATAAACGAGTGTGTCACTGGACCGTGCGGCAGCGGGGGAGTTTGTACCAACACGTATGGGTCGTTCACATGCTCGTGCCATGCCGGTAAGGAGGCTACAAGTGAAGAGCTGGAAAGCCAAAAAACCCTGATAAGTCCTATCTATCCCCATGGCTTCAGCTCTCACAAAACAATGAAGGCAATGGCGTATTGTTCCAGCTGATCACTTGTCTAGTCACCTCTCTTTTTGAAGTAGTTTTTAAATGTATCAGTTAGTGGACAATCTACAGGGGAAGCACTGCATGAGCCTATGATGTTACAGTCAGTAGGAACTCTGCAATACTGCAGGAAGTGTGTAGTAGTAGTAGTACTGAGTTAATGTGCTCTAACTACCCTGGCTGGTTAGACGGATCATTGACAATGTGTTCTGCTTGCTCTTTTCTTTGCGTTGTTGTTTTCCATCACTATTGATTTCACGATCTATTTCTATGTACCTGTACAAGAGGCTTTAGTAGTACTGAGTAGCAGTAGCAGTATTTATTATTTGACTAGGGGAGTCCCAAAAGGCATGGCCTTATTGCGGGGAACCCTCGGTAAATCTTTGTAAGGTGAGCAAAAGTACCAGCCGATTGTGCCTGACAACAGTTTGGAGGAAGAGCGTTCCACCGATCTGCCGCCAGAGAAGAAACTGAGCGCAGTCCAGTGTGTGATTGTGGTTGCACCGGTTGCATTTTTAGTAGTGTTTAAACCGAACACGGATTCTTCGAACGAATAATCTATCGAATAATTTCGCCCTCCATCGAACGAATAATCTATATTCTATCATACGCATGATGGCATTTTTCAACACTTTTTCAGCACTTTTTAAGCAGTTTTTTTTTGAATTTTTTTGCTGATTATCGGATTTTGTTATGTGGAGGTGCAAAACCGGTTAACCTGTACCGCCAAGAGTACATAACCCCCCCCAGAGTGTGCAATGCCTGATCCAGCTCTGCATAGGGTCTTGGTCGAGTGTAATTGGATCTTCACTGCATCCATGTTTCCCTCGTATGGAAAGAACAGAAGTATTACTAGATACCGATAGGAGATTAAAACTTGGAGGAGAAGAGATTGAGAAGAAATACTACGAGCAGATCTACGCAGTGCAAATATCAGTAGAGTCAGCACTGAGCATAGATCGTTTTTTTTTTTTCGATTTCTGATAATTCCTACGACTATTCGATTATTCGTTCACCCCACGAATATTCTAAATTATTCGATTATTCATTTCAACACTAATTTTTAGTGTACAGCCGATTGTAATGCAGACGTGTGGACTTTACTTGTGTGGGGTTATAATTATTGTGTGTGTGTGTGTGTGTGTGTGTGTGTGTGTGTGTGTGTGTGTGTGTGTGTGTGTGTGTGTGTGTGTGTGTGCATGTGTGTGTGCATGTGTGTGTGCGTGTGTGTGGCATGTGTGTGTGCGTGTGTGTGTTTCAGGCTATGCTGGCCCAACGTGTGCTGTGAACGTGGACGACTGTGCTACATCACCGTGCAAGAATGGTGCAACCTGTCTGGACCTGGTCAATAACTATGTGTGTACGTGTTCGCCAGGTGAGTGCCACTGCATCAAGTTGCCGATTGGTTTTGCCTTGGGGTTACATACTTTTCTTTATTTGTTTCTGGGTTTGCATTTGTATTGCATTTCCATCCATTGTGTTCATTTTGCCCGTAAAAGAGGCTGGAGTATACTGCATTGTTTTGCACTTTTTTGTTTCTTTTTGTTTTTGTTTTTTATTTAGAGTCGAAGAACAAACAGGCAAATTTGCCTAATTACATGATATCGACTAACTTGCCCGGAACGTTACCAGCACTGCGCTGCATGTATTGGAATATTCGTGTGTATGCTCCGTGTGTATGCTCCGTGTACCTTTATGTGCTATGGGGGCCGTAGATTTTGCCTTCCACGCTCTCTCACCTCTACGCATACGGCTCGTCATGGTCCAAGCGTTCAGAGTAGGAAAATAATTACGGTGTGTCACTTACATGGGGGGCGTCACAGGGAAGTGAGCAGTGGTACGACAGGCGGTCCGGAGTGTCGCCGCGGGTAAAACAATTGGATTTTTCGGCCAACAGTGCATGTGTTAGCACTCTACAGGTGCTCTGGGCGGACCACCCAGGACGAAAAGTGGTATGACCATGGTCAGACTGGTCGTACCGTATGTGACGCCCCTGACTTACATTTTGCCCCTGGTGTTATTAATTCTCTCAGGTTACACGGGCAAGAACTGTACTATCAATGTCAATGAATGCGCATCATCGCCCTGTGCAAACGGCGGCACATGTGTGGACAGAGTCAATGGCTACATATGTCTGTGTCAGCCAGGTGAGCGAGGCTAGACACTATAACATGCTGCTCTACTCTGTGTGCGTGGGGAGGGGGGAGGGGGGGAGGTGTATGAATGTGTGTGTGTGTGTGTGTGTGTGTGTGTGTGTGTGTGTATGTATGTGTGATTGTATCATATCTATAGGTAAACTTGATGTGCTACCCAGAGTTAATTGTCGGGCACAAGGGAAACATGGATGCAGCAAACAGGATTTTTGGTCTTTGACCGCTTTGGTGGTGGGCCTGATCTACTCACCTCCCACTGCTTCAGCAGCTGCACCTGCACTTTGATCCTTGAGTATGCTGCTTTATGTACGGTGGTACCAGATGAAATTCATCCCCTAGAGGCTTAAAGTGCTATGTGAGGGTGAGGGCTTTCTGCTGTCCGTGCACTCAGCTCTATGCCTGCGGTTCGTGGGTGGTGGTCAATGCGTCGTACACAGGAAGGGATTGCAGGTTTATATTACACTTTAGAAGTTGAAAGTGTAGCGGGTTTATAGTTTAGTGATTTGCAAATTCTTCCCACTTAGAGGGCACAGAGTTAAGATATCCCTAGGCCCCTCTGACACATACCCATCTGTTATGTCTGTAGTACAGAAGAGAGAAGGAATGGCATACTAGTAACGTTTCTTGATGTAAACGACGGATACAGTACTTCCATCCTGCCCCTGGCAGTTACAATCCTCTCTTGTTAGAAGAGAGAAGGAATGGCATACTAATGTTTTTGGTTACTAACGGTTCTTGATGTAAACGATGGACACGGTAATTCCATTCTGCCCCTGGCATTTACAATCCTCTCAGGCTACACCGGCACGTGGTGCTCCTGCGATATCAATGAATGCTTATCGTCACCCTGCATGAACGCCGGCACATGTGTGGACGGGATCGATGCGTACGTGTGTGCTTGCCGCACCGGTTACACAGGTAAGAACTCCAACGCCGGGAAGATCACTGGCATAGTGCTTGCAAGATGGCCCAACAGGGCGCTGTAGTTCTGAGCCCAAGTGCAGTGCATCCCGTACTATGAAGTGGCTTTTTCTGGCCAGTGAATCCCTACCTTTTGGTCTTTTTTATTTTTTTCCCCGCACACACACATCACACCATATACTCCGGCATGCGCTGGCTGTTGGCAACCAACAAGGAGAATGAAAGAAAAGTCAGGAGGAGTCTAAGAAAGAGAAGAAAGACGTGTGTGACCTTAATCGTCAGGAATCGAACCCGCAACCTCTCGATTGGAAATCGCTGCACATACCACTGCACCACATGGGACACACCATGCGCACTACGCCCATTGCAGACTGTCAGGTAATGACATGCACGAGTAGTACATGTGGATACAGATGGGCATGCCGGGATCAGGAATGCACTGATCAACACCAAGCACACACACAGCCATACACAGGTGGCTGTGTAGGATGTTCATCATACAATCTATGTAGGGGTGAAACAATTATACCGAATACTCGAGTACTCGCTCGGTTTTTTCAGAAATAATCGTACTCGGAATAAATCAGAGTACTCGTTCATACATGGTACGTGCATTTACCACAGAAATCTGCAGTTTCAGAGCAGCAGTCGACGGATATTGATGTACAGACTGTGTGGTGAATATTTGTTCACGAGTAAAGAAAGCCCAAATGACCCACCAACCAATATACCCGAGAAAATGACTACCACTCGGTTCAATCAGGGTTGTATCATGTGATTTTAAGGCCCTCGGTGTGCAATTTTTGGGAGATGAAGAATACTCGAATACTCGAATATTCGATCGGACAAAATCAGAGTACTCGAACTCGGGAGCTCAATGCCAACTTTCACCCCTAAATCTATGCCATTGGCTATGGGCTCATCGGGAGTGGCTCACAATGCCTAGCTGCGTCTCTTCAGGCATCTGCAGGCGTCTTGGAAACTTTCAAGTGAAAATCTTAATTGTACTCACTTTGGAGAAGAAAATACAGATATTTGCACAAGTAGTAGATTTGTGCCAAATGCCATGATTGGAAAGATGAGTTCGAGATGTGAGCATTGAGGGCAGGGTTCGCATTGTACCGTTTGTTAGGGAAGACATGGGAAATTCATCCCACAACAATCATTCATTTCTACCTCTCCACATCTTGTGTTCTTCAGGAAGACATTGTGGATCGGACGTTGATGAGTGTGCCAGTAGCCCGTGTCTGCGCGGAGGTACCTGTATAGACAAGTTGGCGGGTTTTCAATGCATGTGTCCACCAGGTAGGCATTCCAAATGTCTGCAATGTACTTTTTGCCAGTTTGATATATCCTCACTCTCTCTTTCTCTCTCTGAGTCACTCTCTCTCTCTCTCTATCTATCTATCTCTCTTTCTCTCTCTGAGTCACTTACTCTCTCTCTCTTTCTCTCTCTCTCTCTCACTCTCTCTCTCTCTCTCTCTCTCTCTCTCTCTCTCCCACCTTCTCTCCCCCGACTGATGCATGACAGGTCCAAGGTTGGAGCCAGCTCATTTGTCCAGTTGTAAATTCAGTAACCTACACATACGTATCTGGAACACTATGTGGTGCGAGTTCAAGTTCAGTCAGTCCACACTCAGTGTTGATCATCTTGAGAATTCTTTGAGTGCATTAATTTTACATAATGCATGTGTGTGTGTATGACATTGTGCAGGTATCACTGGTTTCACATGTCACGGAGATGTGGACGAGTGCAAGGCCTTGCCATGCCAGAACGGTGCCATGTGTCTGAACACTGTGGGAGGATATGCATGCAGGTACAGTGAAAACCTGTGTTCACTGGACACCTGCACAAGGTGCAGCACAGAAACTGGTCTTTCAACACAGGGCTGATTGTACATTGAAGCATGGTACTGTACATGTAGACAGATCTGAAATTACAGGTGGTCTCTACAAACAGGTGGCCTCTAAACCAGGTAGTGGTCTTTAAAGGCAGGGAGGTAGTCATCCCCAAAAAGATATGCTAGGTACCTCGCGGGTAGCCTCAACACCTGCAATCACCCGCCATATCCTAAAAGTATAACACTTTCTCTGTCCTCCTGTAGCAGCTCTCCCTTTCATTGGCTGTATATGTTCAGATACCATGATGGAACATCTGAAAAGATTTTGGCAACATCTCGCTGCAGATTTTGGCAGATCACGGCATTGTACATGTTTCGGACTCTCGACCTCATTCTGCTCCCCAGACAATGACATGCCTTTGGACATCGTCGAGGGTGGTTTCACCCAAAGCTTGGACTCACCGCAAACTCCTTTCATGGTGCGACAGATGCATCATTATCAACAGTCTGCTGGACTATTCTCTCCAACACCAGCTCAATTCCAAGATGATACTCTTGCCCACATAGGGTAACCCTCTGTTAATAAAATTCAATATCTGCGGAGTTGTCCTGAAAAAATATGAACAATAATGCATCCAGTGTTTTTCTCTCATTTTGCTTTCTGTGCAGCTGTAGCATCGGTTACACCGGGTCTCATTGTGCTGTAGAAATTAATGAGTGCTCCTCTGCTCCCTGTCACAACGGTGGGACCTGTGTGGATCAGATCGGCAAGTATGCTTGCACCTGCCCCGTGGGGTACACTGGCTCAGTGTGTGATGTGGATATCGATGACTGCTCGCCAACACCGTGCTTGAACCAAGGATCCTGCACGGATCTGGTCAGTACATGCACCCATATACTTCACATAGGTGACTCAATTGAACTCATGCATGCTCACCTACCCCCCCCCCCCCCCCCCCCTTCCCCACACACACACACACATGCACAAACACCCAAGCAGCACCTCATTGCAATCAGGACACAGACCTTCTTCTTGGAAAGTGCTGGCTATAATAGCGCTCCACCAGAAGACCACACAAATCCACAACATACATACCTGATCTACAATAGAACATGTCTGTACGTGTAACTGCACTCATATCCCTCTTATCCGGACCTCCAAGTCACAGGCACATCGGTCTAACCGACACACTGTGGATGAGTTAAAATGGAAATACTACTCTTTTGCCAATTTTTGTGGAAATAGTGAAGTCATATGCCAGACCTCTGGCCCGTCCCCATCAAGCCCTATGGTGATTCGGAGATACGGACATTTCCAAGTTATGGGCAGTACCTAGTCCCGGACCGCCCGGATAAAAGATATGTTTACAGTTAGTTTTGTCGTTCGCCACCAATTTAGCTAGACACTTTCCAGGTTTTGCCAGTTGTAGGAGATAGAGCGATCACAATACTAGAGAGGATCCTTCCATCAGGAGAATGAGGATTATGATGGTGTAACCTCGGAAAGTGCGTATTGATTTGAAAGTCCTTCATGCTCTCCTCCTCTCAGGAACTCAGGAATACTTCAACGAAACACTGAACACTCTCCTATAGTAATTGCTGTGCAATGTATACCTTTCTGCCCATGCCAGGTGAACGACTACACCTGCTCCTGCGTTGCTGGCTTCACCGGGAGGACATGCAACTTCAACATTGATGACTGTGCGGCTCAGCCAGCCCCATGCAGCGGACACGGAACATGCACTGACGGTATCAACACATACACGTAAGCAAACGATACCACATTTTTATTTTACAAAGACCACTTAAATGCCAAACATGAGATTAAGCTAGGGGAAGCACGAACAACCTGAATCATGCCAGTGGTGGTGAGGTTTAGGGAGCTCCGCCGAACTAGGGTCTCGACTTCATGGCCACCTAGACGCACGATACAGTAAACCCTGTCAAGGCGACCACACAGATAGGGCGACCAACTGTCCTAGAAGACCACTGAAACCAGGACCCAGGGATTCTATTTCCAGGAAAATGACCCTGGATAAGGAGACCACCTGGTAATAGAGACCACGTTTTGAAGGTCCGTTGAGCGGTTGTCTTAGACAGCTGTTTCACTCTACTATAGTGGTGGTAACTGAAATCCGACCCCTGATTTTAATGCTCGAGTTCAGCACCGATTCTAGCCTTCTCTCTTGCATAGTGTTACACGTGAGAGCTGCGGTTTTTCAATGTGAGCGCACCAGCCAGGGGTCGGATTTCAGTCACCAGCACTGTACTAGTACCCCATACTGACATTACACCGAGACAACCATCGGAAATACAACAAACAACATGTTTCCATTTGAAACTCAGTTACATCTTAGCACTCAGTCTTGTCCATTACTTTTCTGTATGACGTTTGATGCTTTCTGAAACAATGGAGACTTTGAAGCTGTCCAGATACCGTTGCTCGTTGAATAACAATCGAATGCATCGTGCAAAAAAGATTTTTTAAGTCATGGTATGTTTTGCGGTGTGTCTGCGTGTGCATGTATGTGCGTTTGTGTGTGTGCGTGTGTGTGTGTGTGTATTGGCGTGTGTGCGTGTGTATATGTGCGGGCGGGTGTTGATGTGTGTATTGATGCACCGGCAGTTGTCAGTGCAATAGTGGGTACACTGGTCCCAGGTGCTCTGTGGACATTGACGATTGCTCACCTAATCCTTGCCAGAATGGTGCGCAGTGTACAGATGGTGTCAGCAAATACACTTGCACATGTGCTACGGGTAAGTATGCTTATCTATGTATGCCATCATTGTGTATTATGTGTGTGTGTGTGTACATGTGTGTGTGTGTGTGTGTGTGTGTGTGTGTGTGTATGTGTGCGTGTGTGCGTGTGTGTGTGTGTGTGTGTGTGGCGGGGGGGGGGGGGGGGGGGGGATCGGGTGGCGGGTGTTGGTGTGGATGTATGCGCATGTGAGAGCACCCGTGCAAATATGTTTTCTGAAATCCCAATTTGCTTACAGGTTTCACTGGCAGTGACTGTTCAACGAATGTAGATGACTGTGTACCACCGCCGTGTAGGAATCTGGGAGTCTGTGTGGACAAGGTAAGTGCAGGTCATACATTGTGAGAGCTAAATGTCAGAGCCATACTGGGGTTATAATGTCTTCGTAGCTAGCAGTCAAAACCTTGTTCGGTACACCGAGTGGAGCTCACAGAGACTGGCCGGTAACACGATAATTTCTGGTGACTGGCTAATAATTTACATCAGCCCCGATGTGTCAATGTTAGAGTCCACTACTCATCTATCCATCCATATGTGTGATGGCAAGGCATATCATGTGATAGTAAGGTAGTTGGTGATGTGCCAGTTTCTCCGGTTGAAATGGGATAGTGCATGCAGTGGGTCATGTAACTTGACATGTGACCAACGAATAGTATGTTATACCATGTATAGCCTTCCATGGCAAATCTAGCCTGCTTGCTCATTTAAAAGTTTCTTGGCTTCACATTGAATTTGAACCAGTGGAGTCTGTGACTTACACTGCACTCAAAATGAGCGAAAAATAACATCCAGTAATTTAAATTATCGTGTCCGTTCCCGGAGGAAACTCACAACGGCTGCTAACACACGGTAAACCCTGCAGCGCCTATCCGTGGGGATGAGGAGATAAGTCTCACAACCACTGACGCAAGTGCCGAGAAACCTCATTTGCCGCATCTATGTACCCATATCATCCAGTGCTCTCCGTATTCTTGTGCTCCTTGAAGGTTGCCAACTACTCGTGTAGCTGTCTGACTGGATTCGCTGGCAGGCACTGCCAGACAAATGTTGACGATTGCTTCACGCGACCGTGCCGTAACTCCGGTGTGTGCCAGGACGGCATTAACACGTTCACGTGTCAGTGTGCACCGGGTTACTACGGCCAAGTGTGCGAGAACGTGCAGCCAACAACGGCCGCGCCGTGGCGTCCCACAACAGCTCACCCCACGACACCTCGTCCCACAACGAGCGTAACAACATCGCCGCCTACTACCAGTGGACCATCGGCATCGTCTTCCTCGGAGCCAAGCACTGCCACAAGTCAAGAGGCTACTACCAAGAGCCAGCCAACAAAATCTGCCGTGGGAAACAATGGTAATTTATCAGTAGCTCTGATGTGCAACACTATTCCACTGCTTGTTGTGCTTTACAGCCTTCTGTCAGTTGCCTTTTTTGGTTATTTTTGCTGCCCCTTGTCAATTCCGGACTCTTTCAAGACGGGATCAGAGACACATTGCCGTAGTAACGCATGCCACAGAGCACGTTGGTAATTGCCACAGCACATGCCCAGGCCACAGCACATGCCCAGGCACAATCCTTGGTCGCCCGAGTGAGGAGTTGGCCAAGGAGAAGCCAGACTGTCATCTACAATAATTTTCCAACTTTTATTTCGGGAAGAACGGATCAGCCTTATTCATCAATGAGGGTAACAACATACAGTAAAACTCCCCAGGTCCGGCCCCGGCCCATAATCCGCCCAGTCCGTCTACCATCTAGGGTCACAAAAACTGGCTTTTCGACGAAAAACGGCCCCAAAACTATTGATTGGAACATTTTCCCTTCTTTTAATGTTTACGTTCATGGAGTAAGTATGACTGTAAGTTCTGAGTTGCGGGCAGTGCTAAGTCCCAAACTACCCCCCGGGGGATTAGCGGAGTTTTACTCTATCACACTTTCTCTGGGGACTGACAGTTGTCACTACTGGCATGTAATTTTCTGCTGGTTTTGCCAATGAAACGGTAGTCACTAGTTAGTGTAGAGTCACGGAAGTTCCAACATTGTGTAGTTCTAGATAGACAAGTTAGGAGACAAGTTCCAGCCACTCTGAATCTTGGTCTGATCCCCCTTTTTTATACGTTCCTGTTTTCTAATAATGCCATTGCGACAAGGTGTAGTGTCTGCCTCTCTTTACCTCCCACTCAGATGAGCAGACCGACGGTGACAGCAAGCTCGGTGTACCAGTGATAGCTGGAGCAGCTGGTGGAGCCGCTCTATTGCTGGCAGCACTGGCTATCATTCTCCTCATTGTCTACAGGAGACGAAATAGGTACAATGAGCAGATAAGTAACTTTCTTGGAGACAGGAAGCTTATCAGGGAAAGAAAAAACACAAAGCTCAAGCTATTCTTCACCATCATCATCAATAAGGAGTCCTTATTGGATGGTGAAGAAGAGCTTTAGATTTGTGTTTTTTTTCTTTCCCTGATGAGCAGATAAGTTGTGATACATTCACTCTGGAGTAAATGAAACCCAGACTGTGCAGCTGGGATGGTTGCTGCCACGGCGAATGTTTCTACATTACATCACTCAGTGACGTAGTGCATACAACTCTGAGCAAGATTCAAGCAAGTCTTCTGTTGCACAACTGCAGGCAGCTCAGGTGTGCACACTGCGCCACTTCCCGCTGCATATCTGTACCGACTCATGATGATGAAATCGAGGAATTTTTGCCATCACAGACGCCCAGCAGAAAGGTCTGAAGCTGTGCACTCTGGGCTTCGTTTTTTTTTTAATTTATGAAAGTGCACATGCCTACATGGAATGGAAGAGACAACAACAACAGCAAGAGAACATAGTACTCTTGATTTGATTGCTGCAGCACAACAGCAGGGTATGTATACTGATGAATGTGATGATGGGTTCATCCAGCTTTGGCGTATTCATCTTGCAAAGTAGTAGCAGAGAAGAACAGTATGGCATCGAAGTAATCCATGCATGCACGACTACCCTAAAGAGACAGCACTAACACACACGTGTGCGCAAGAATACTGTGAGCAGAAGTGCACATTGTCGGACTGAGGGTACTGTGACAAACCTGTTGGGATGACACCCTCACCGCCATTTTAACGCTGATGATTCTTCATGTGAAAACCTGTTTTTCTTGATAAGCATAACACAATGAGCCAAACCCCAGTGCCTAATAGGGATTGCAGTGCAGGTGGATTTCATCCTCAGGGCTCTATCTAGGTATGTCACGTGGGTAGATTTCATCCTCAGTGCTCTGTTAGAATAAGCCAGGCAGATCAGCTTCATTCACTGGACTCCGTCTAAAGAAGCCATGGCAGGATTGTTGTGTGATAATTACATCGTTTCTCTGGGCTTCTATTAATGTGCAGATGCGCAAAGGCGACGCACTTTGTGAATGCCGGATTTGACGATTACAGCAATGAGGTAAGTAAGCAGGAGTTAGGCCAGGGGGACTCTGTAACTTATACCAGCAGTCTGCATGTTGTACAGTGGACCATTTCTGCTAATAAGCGGTGCGGAGACAAACACTTTGTTATGGCAATCAGCAAATCAGCGAAGCGGACATTGGACGTAGCAATGAACAAAAAATAAAAGATGGATAATAAAGTTTCCTAACAAGTTTTCTGGAGACATTTGTGCTAAAGAAATTCTGCTGGATTCGGGAGGGTGCCGGGTTAACAAAATAATCTGATTTTCTGCTGCGATGGGCATGAAGGGACATTTTCGTTACTGAAGATTGTGCTGGATTATAGAGGTTGCTGGTTAGAAGAGGGACTACTGAATTGCTGTGGTCCATACCAACGTGGCATCTCAATACTCAAGTATGCACGGGTTGGTTTACAACTCCCGAGAACTGATGAATTTGTTCCACGAATGTGACTAATTTTCGAGAGCAGTATACTAAATACACAGAAATCCATGAAGTTTCAGCTGAAACATCAGCTGATGAGAAATACGTGATTGGAATAGTATTTTTACTTCAAAAGACTTTACAAATGATGGCTGTGCACTTTGGCATATGCACTTGGCACTAACTTTGCATACACCCACCCCTGTGCTACATCATGGCTTCGTTGTCCGGGTGCTTAAACTGACCAGAGAGCAGTATTGCAAGCCACGTCCATACATCCGACATCAGCATCCAGCAGAAGACACTGCTTTTGTTGGAAACATCACTAGAAGTACCTAGTTTCCCAGGCATGTCCTGAAAGAACTTGCATAGACCCCATGGTTGCTTGAGCTTACTAGACAGAATATTTCATTCTACTCAGTTCAGTCGAATGCGTTTCAGTGAAGCCACTACTCCACAATTGACTCTCATGTGTTGTACCGTTATGCTGTCAATGTTTTGCATTTTAGACTTTGGACAGATCACCCAAAGAAAAGAAGGACAATCCCTACTCAAAACATCCGGAAACAAACGGCAGCGGACCAGCAGTTAAACTTAACACGGGTACAAGTTCCGATCAAGTTCAAGTTCATTATTCTGTGAACCAGCAGCAAACTGCAGACGGCCACTACGAAGCACCAGAGCAATCCCAGCAAGGACAGGATCCTCTGAAGCCAGTCTCCCTAGCAGCGTCCATGCAAGCGGAAAGCAACTACTACCAGTTGAAACCAACCCACCTTGATCAGCACAGACAGCTGCCACAGTGTCCTGGAGACAACAAGACTGGCCCGAATGCAATGAAACCTGGATCTGCAGCGAATCCTACGTCCGAGGCCGCGTCAGATGCTGCAGATCACATGTATGGACAGTCTAGAAGTGATGAGGATGTGTACGACAATGGGGAGCTTGGTCCATATGACCTTGATGCCACGACAACGACCAGACTGATACCAGGAAGTGATGCGGACTGCAACGATGTCTATGACAATAATGAGCTGGGGCCTGGAGAAACGGCGCATGCTTTGCCGACGACACCGATGCTTCCAGAACGGAACCCGGTGAAAGGAGTGCAGCCCTCGCCTAGGCCTCGGGCAAAGGACGAGGACCCGGCCAACCCATTCTCCAAGTCGCACGGACTTCACGGCAGAGGCCCGGCTTTGAAGCTCAACCTGGCGGCAGGCCCCAGTCAGGTGCAGCAGTACTACTCATCTAGCCGCCCTTCAAGCACTGCAGACACATACTGGCAAGTATCGGAGGGGCGATCAGGCGCTTCCAGTCCCCTTTTTGGACAGGCCAGCAGCGATGCGGGCGACGGTGATACGTATGACAATGGCGACTTAGGTACAGATCCAACGACAGCCGTGTCCCGAGCTAAGGAAGCGCTTCCAGAAAACAACTGCTTTCAGCTAGAGCCACAGACCAAACACGTTGACCGAGGCCGACAGCTGCCGACTCCTCCGGGTGAGTCCACGCAGGCCAGCACATTGAAACCAGTGTCGTTAATGAGGGCAAACACGGCCAGGGAAGAGATGTACAGTCAGCTGGATTCAAGTAGATCCAATGGAGGTGGTGGTGGAGGTGGTGGTAGCCTGAAGCCAGTGACATTGACCGAATCAACTAGCTCAGATACCACATACTACCAACTCAAGACTGGGCCACCAGCTAAGCGTGTTGCCCGTACTGCAGGACGGAAGTGATACTCCACAGTTCACCCAGCCCTACTGCGTTCAGCTTGAAGAAAAGCATGCAATATAGTCATGCAGCACAAGGCGAGGATATGCTTTTGCAACTCCGAGTGCCACGATAACACAACCAACAGACGTATGAACACGGCTGGCTCTTGCCTGTGTAAGCGAAACAGCACTTTGACAGTCTACCTGGAGAGCTTTCTCTACACACACACTATTGGAGTGGATACAACTGTGAGAATGTAATGCAGTGACAGATTTCCAGAATGAATCTTTACTCTAGCACAGGTATTAGCAGCCGGTCCATGGAAACTTGATTCACAACCCGGCCACACATACATAACTGTCGAGCATCCATGGAGACAATGTAGAGTAGATTTCAGCACAATAAGGGTAATCAAGGCTTGTTTGCTGCTACTTTTAAGTTTCATGCTTTCAATCATCAGGCAACATGATAGCGTAGATTTCTAAAATACACAGTAGGATTAATGGAACTTGGATGTCGAGCCAATAGTATTCTGTAAAGACTGTACAATTATTATTTCGTTACCTTGGTGGACTGTTAGACCGAATTTGATACTTATAGGTCCCTTATCTTTAGAATTGATGGATTGATGATATTCCCGCAAGATAGAAAATGGTTGAATTGAATCAGACTGGTTGTTCTGTAACTGACAAGGAGCACATAAGCATTCATACTCTCTATCCATATCGAGAATATTGTATTTCAGCGCCGAGGTTGGCCACAGTATTTTTTTTACCCAATATTGCACAGTTGCAAATTCTTCAATTTAAGTGACGATCATTTTCTAGAACAAGTTATTGTCCACCCAATGTACTCCTGACACAACATAAAAAACCGTATTGCTTGACCTGATAGAGATAACATGTTGCCAAAGCATAATTGCACGGTTTTGTGTGGTAATTATTAGGGGTGAAACAATTATACCGAATACTCGAGTACAGTCTGTATCGGCTATAGAGTGACCCGGTAAAAGAATATATCGGCTACAGTGATACTGGTACGAAATATCAAAAGCAAAACGTATTTTATCCAGCAAAAATATCACTATAACCAATATTATCGGATGTAATGATATATCGGATATTATGATGGCAACAAAGAATCAAAACATGCATAACACACTATAATTATTATTATCGGCTATAGTGATAACTTTAAAAATGCTTGTAGCAATCAATATCAAAGGCCCTACTGTATAGCAGGAAATTTTCGGACGGAAATATTTTCGGACAAAGCCAAATTTCGACCTTTCGTACTGATTATATTTTCGTACAGTGCTGCATGCTAAACACACGTGTTTCCCTGCAGTACGCATGTATAGTGTACATAATTTCACATGAACAAATTTTAGTACGGAATTAATTTTAGTACAAAAGAGGCCGTGTACGAAATCGTACGAAAATAAATTCCGTCCGAAAATTTCCTGCTATACAGTATTTTTTTTACTTTCTTCAGTGAGACTTCGCATTGCTTATTTTTATAGTGATACATGTACATGTACATAACAGAATTTTTTACGGAAATGCGGGCACTGTCAACTATGCAGCATGCTCATTTGTCAAAACGCCATGCTGGAAGTATTTCCTTGCCTTTCATGTGTCAATCGAAATAAAAATAAAAAAATCGATCGTATCGCATATAGTGATTCATCGGATATAGTGATAATATCACGGAACTCAAAAGGGTACGCTATAGCCGATACAGACTGTACTCGCTCGTTTTTTTTCAAAAATAATCGTGCTCGGAATAAATCAGAGTACTCGTTCATAGATGGTACGGGCATTTACCACAGAAACCAGCAGTTTCAGAGCAGCATTCGGCAGATATTGATGTGCAGAGTGTGTGGTGAACATTTGTTCACGATAGGCCTTGACAGATTATGCTAGCATAATTTTTCGCATAATTCCTACCAAAATCGAATAATCGCATAATTCGAGGCAAATTGCATACGAATCGCATAAAATTGGAATAATCCGCCTGTTCGCATCAAATTCCATACAGTTGTACATGTTCTACAAGCACAAGTACAAGTAGATGCACCAGGAAATCGTAGGTTTACGACTCCCTTGAGAACATGTCCAGTCCACTACAATCAGTGACCTGGTGACGGTCGTAGCTAGGTCGGACGGTACGTTGACCCCGTTGAACCTTTGCTACTAGTATACAGTACAACGCCCTCTACAAAAAAATTCCCCTGTTATTTTGCACAGAACCATTATACATTAGCAGCATATATGAGCATAATGCGGCATAATATGATAACTTTTAGCATAAAAATAGCATAATTCTGCAATTTTTTCAGCAATGCGAAAAGCATAATTTCACGAAAATATTAGCATAATCTGTCAAGGAGTTCACGAGTAGAGAGAGCCCAAATGACCCACCAACTAATATCCCCGAGAAAAATGACTTCTACTCGGTTCAATCAGGGTTGTATCATGTGATTTTAAGGCCCTTGGTGTGCAATTTTTAGGAGATGAAGAATACTCGAATACTCGAATATTCGATCGGAGAAAATCAGAGTACTCAAACTCGGGATCTCAGTGCCAACTTTCACCCCTAGTAATTATTATTAATTTAACGAGAGAGCTTGGAAGCTCAGGGCCCTACGCTATGCTTTGTTACTTAGCTCATCGTGCATGTTGTGGGAACTGATGGAAATGTTTCCTGGGAAGGCGCTGACTCTGCCGAGCACGCGCGTTCTGGAGTCGACGGGATCACTCTGCCGACGTTTCCTGTGACCGGCGCTGACTCGCCCGTTCACGCCTATTTTGGAAACGACGGGATCTCTCTTCCAAAGTATGTTTTTGCTGACGCATCCTATCACCTATTCGGCAACTAACATCCATTCTAATTTCATTTCCTCCTCGTCTCCCTATTTCTTTCCAGAAAGTCTCTCTATACATCAGGGAGTCGTACTGTATTGGCAGCTACCCTAACGGGTCACGCCGCCCACCACCCAAGCATGGGTATGATGAGGGACAGTGGCAACAGAAACAAAAAAACAGCAAGCAGGGAGAGAAAGCAAGAGAAAGACGGCGATAGTAGTACATCTGGTGTGCGACGTATAGAAAAGAGAGATGACAAGAGATGCGCACAAAATAGGAAACAATAATTATTTTTGCAGTTCCGAAACAATCAACCAGGTGATGGAGTGTGGGCACCCGAAGTCCCACCTGGACTTCACTGGAAGAACATCCCACGCAGGGATATCAGCGATAGGCCAAGCGTTGAAAAACAGCCATGAGGACACATCGTCTAGAAGTCCACCGCGCTCGAACTGAAATTGCAGGTTCAAACAATTTCCCACGCGGTGTCAGGCAGCGTAACTCTTCTCCCTGCATCACCATCCATCTCCAGCAACCGTCTCCACTCACAGCTCATGCCTCTTCCACCACTGTACTCCTCCGAGCTTCGCAGTTTGAAACCATTCGGGGGTCAGCTACACCACCGCGAATGGAGAGACGAGGACGACAACGGTCGTGACTGAAAAGACACTGCCTTGGCGACCGCGTCGCGGAACCCTCGCCCCAGCAAATTCAGAAATACGCCAGGGGCAACTCTGGTGGACCCAGAGCCACCCCTTGGCAAGACTAGTAAGAGGAACGACTGAAAACTCAGATAAAACGGAGCTACAAAAAGTGCAACCGTCCCCTTCAAGCACAGTTGCAACACACAGGGAGTCGTATACATGTACATAATATTGTGGCCAGCTGTTTGTAGCCAGCTGTGTTTGATGGTACGGTACGGGACAGATACGGGAGCCAGCAAATGGCCAGCTGTGCGATACGGTACGGGACAGATCCGGGATAGCGCCAGGCGTGACACAAACAAACAAACAAACACCAAACGAGAGAGCTTGGAAGCTCAGGGCCCTACGCTATGCTTTTTTGCCTTGATGACCTAGACAAAAAAAAAGCATAGGGATGTTATAAATTCTTTAAAAAATTCCTTTTTTTTTAAGACATAACCTGGGATTCGAACCCGCACTATCGCGCGCCCTGCATGCATCCCCCGATACACTTCGCATACATACTAATTCTTCCAAGTTGTTTCACATTGTGATCTTGCATTTGAAAGCCCTATTTGAATATGCATTGTGGCCAGCCGTCTTTGATGGCACGGTACGGTAGGGGATAGGTACGGGACAGGTACGATCGAGGGTAATACGACACCGTCTCCCGTACCGTACCATCAAACACAGCTGGCCACATACAGCTGCCCGCAATATTCAAATAGGGCTTTCAAACGCAAGATAATAACGTAAAGCAACTTGGAAGAAATGGTATGAATGCGAAGTGTATGGGGGAATGCATGTAGGGCGATAGTGCGGGTTCGAATCCCAGGATATGCCTGAAAAAAAGGAGAATTGAAAAATTTATAACATCCTATGCTTTTTTGCCGTCAGATACGGATAGCGCCAGGCGTGACACAAACAAACAAACACACAAACAAATACCAAATTAAAGCTGTGTGGACCCTGGCTAGCGCCAGACGTTACTGAAGTAACGTCTTCTGCATAGCTACGGGAATTAAAGCTGTGTGGACCCTGGCTAGCGCCAGACGTTACTGAAGTAACATCTTCTGCATAGCTACGGGAATAATAATTACCACACAACGCTTTGGCAACATGTTATCTTAATCAGGTCCAGCAATACGTTTTCCCAAGTATTCGCATGACTGAGAGGGACATGCACGTACTTGCGTTTGGTGATCAGGCACGAGACTGAGTGGCATACGCCTGTCCCTCCAGGAAATCGCAATTTGGCCCAAATCCGCCATTTTCTGCAAAATCTGCGATTTCCCCAATTGTTGTTTTTATGCACTTTAGACAAATTTAGAAAGTAAAAGGACATACATATGTGGATACGAGTTTTAAAGAGTAACTGTCCACCACTGTAAATAGATACTATCATACAGTCAGAAAGTGCAACAACTAGGCCGACTTGGAAGGCTGTTGGTTAGCGCTACGGAGATGTGTTGAAGCTACATTGTAGGTGTCAGGTCGTCGATGTCTCAGTACTCTGTCAGTTTTGTGCCTAGTTGTTGCACTTTCTGAATGTACATTATAGTATCTAGTTGCAGCGGTGGAGAGTTACTCTTAACTCGTATGCATATGTCCTTTTCCTTGCTACATTTTATTTATGGCTCAATATCCGAGTTTCAAATTATACAGTTTTATGCACTTTTAACGCAGTGCTTTCCATGCGAGTAAATCTGCTGAGCAAATAGTGATTCCACGGATGCAACCAATTTCGTGATTTTGGCCCAAATCCGCAAAATTCTGCAAAATCCGCGAATTCCCGGCAATTTCTTGCGCACGTTTTCGAGAATTATTCCGCAAACTCCCGCAGGGACAGATACATGTGCATGTATGCATGTGACGCCATTGGGCGAGAAGTCATGTCGTAAACGTTGCCTTTCCTTGGTCAAGTTTCCTTTTATTCAGAGAGTCTTGTGCGCTGCCATGGTCTTACACACGCCTTCTCTCTGTCCTCAGGCTCTTGAACAATATCTTGAAAGTTTTCACTGGCGTACTATCAAGCGATATCGTCAGGTGAAATGCCGGCAAAATCAAAAGCTTTCAAGATGTTCAAGAGCCTGAAGTGTGTACTTCTTCTTAATAGTATTGTTAGGTACCACCTCCCGTCCATTTCTAGCTGGCCTGCATGCCCTTGCGTACGCACCTTTTGTCTCCTTTTGCTCCGTTGGCCTGGGTAGCTACTTGCGCGCCCATATTTGCCATAGCTACCCAGGCCCTTTATCTTGCCGTTTAGACTTGATCTCACTTTCTCTTTTCTCACTCTTCAATGTAGTCGTTTCGTTCGTCTTGGTCTCTTGTCTCGTCGTCTACTAGTATAATAAATGTCGTTCCCACTAACCTGTTCCC